ATATATATATATATATATATATATATACATATGAAAGAGTATATATGAGTATATAGTGACATAGTAGATGACAGCCTAGGAAAAGAAACCCTGTGGGGCAGTTCTCTGTTACACCAGGGGGCGCTGTGAGTGGATGATATATAAGAGTATATGTGAGTATATAGTGACACAATAGATGACAGCCTAGGAAACCCTGTGGGGCAGTTCTCCTCTGTTACACCAGGGGGCGCTGTGAGTGGATGATGTATAAGAGTATATATGAGTATATAGTGACACAATAGATGACAGCCTAGGAAACCCTATGTGGCAGTTCTACTTGGTCTCATGGTCTTGCACTGAGTCAAAATTGATTCACTGTACCTAAAACAACTTCTGACCTTAAGGGGAAAAAAAATTGATTTAAAAAATTTTTTTTGTCAGTTAAATTATTTAATAACACTGCTTTTAAGTAGCAAAGTTTTAAAGGCACACTTTCTTGGAACATTATAGCGCTTCAGGCTACCCATTAGCCTTGCTAACCGGTGTCCCGCCACCTGGAGTAGCCGCTGATTCATATCTCCCTTGTTCTCTTCCCAGCGTTCCAATCCACATGCTGCCTACCCCAACCCTGGACCAAGCACATCACAGCCCCAGAGCAGCATGGGATATTCAGCTACCTCCCAGCAGCCTCCGCAGTACTCTCATCAAACACACCGGTACTGAGCCGCGCTGGAATCACGTCACTGCGCTGGCGCTGTGGGGCGGGGCAGGGCGCTGGCATCACGTGACTGCACTGGGCTACGCTGCGGGGCGATCCGGGGGCTCCCCAGGAAGGGCTGTGCAACAACGTCTGCCGAATGTCCAGCCACCGATTCCCAGCACTCTCCACAGACCGGGGTGGTGGCGTCCACGTTGTCCCTAATTTTGGAGTTAGACTTGAAGAGAGAGTGCTCGCACAGTGTGTGTTGTGGATGTGCTACTTTCATAGTTTACTTGACCTGGTTCACACTGACCACCACGTGCTTTCCCAGTGATGGGCTGTAGCAGGTGAAGCTGTGAAATGTGTTAGGGGCCAGCAGTTGTCATTGTGTGGTGAGCCTTCAGTGTAACAGCCCCCTGACCAGTAGTCACACAGGAAGCTGTGTGACTGGGACTTGAAACGTACAGTACATGTTAGCGCAACAACATGACCACAACTCAACACCACACTCTTGGTACACCTTTCTTTTCAGCGTCTCATCAATGGTTGATTCATTTGCTTCATTAATCAGTGTTTTGGTTTTATTCTCATTGTTGTCTCTTGACCAAGAGAAAGAAATGCTTGGATTTTGTTTTGTTTTTTTCCCCCAAAGTCCCAAATCCACATGGTTTAACCAGAAAGGTTTAGAAACTCCCAAAGATTGATTTCCAACTTCCTAGTTCATTTTGTTTCTTTCTTTACGATCTTTGGCTTGACTGGTATGAAAGCTGCTATTTGATAGTAATTGAGTATGTTGGCATTGGGTTCAGCAAACAACCTCAAGCGATTGGCGCAGACAGTGTTTTATTTTTCCTGTTGGTGTTGCTGATTTTGTGAGCATGCTTTAAGACAAGAAAAAGGAAAAAAAAAAAGAAAAAAAAAAGCATGAACGATTCTGTCTTTAACAGGCTGCAGCAGCCAGTTCTGCGATTTTGTCCCGATTTTAAAGCCGGCGGTGTAGCGCCCTTCCGGTGGTGAGCGCCCTTCCGGTTCTGTTCAGTTCCCTTTCTTTTTTCTAAAGCTGGTTCGCACGTTGCTTAGGGTGCCCTTACTTCAGCAAGGAGAAATGAGTAGGAGAGCCTTAGAATTTTTGAGGAAAAAACGTATAACATACAATGTACTGTATCAAACTATTTTACATGAATGACACAAGTATTCTGAATAAAAAAAAATTGAACATTGTTAAAAAAACAAGGTGTTATGTAATAAATTTATTTTTCATAAATCAAACTATGGAGTCCACTGTATATGTTATGTACACAATTTGTGTGTATGTGTGTGTATGAAAATTTGAAGCGTCCCCTAATGAGTTGCCTCAGGGTATGTGTCTGCCTATGTTTTGGGTCATGTGATCATCAGGTTCTGCCTGCTACGGGCTGAATCATGACTCATGACTGACGTGTGGGTTCTCTCCAGTACACTTCAGTACAAGGTGGCCTCACACAGTTCCTGGAAGAGTGGAATGAAAAGGTAATGGATTTTATTTAATGTTTTATTGTGAATTATGTGATAGTTTACATGGCAGAACATTAGCTTTACATTCATCCTATCATATATCGATTCATTGCCATGGTTACAATCCCCTCCATGCATCATCAGCGAACCAAAGGGTATACCCTGCAAACCTGCCCCCTGGTCGTCAGCACACAGCCCCCTTCTCCCTCTCTGGGTTTAAAGTCCCCAGCCGCTCCATCTCTCCATGTCATTGCCTCTGCCTCCATCTCAGGCATCACTGCTTCTCCGGGTAGGGTCCTGCTCTCTGCTCTCTTCCCTTGATGGTCCCAGGGACCTCTGCTCCTGAATTTCAAAGTCAATAACTCCCCTCCTTTTGCTATAAAACGTCTGCCTTTACATTTCCAACCCTCACAGTCAGTCCTGATAACAATTATTCACTATTGTATCACAAAAGATATATCCCCATCTCCCTTCATCATCCCCCCCCCCTCCACCCAACAGATTGGATACTACTCAGTGGAGATTCTACCTTCCTCCACGCCCTCTGGATTTAGGCTCCCTCTTGAAAGCTTGTAAGCCAGTCACTTCTTGCCTTTATAGCACCCCCATTTTGGGTAGCCAGTGTCCAAGTTGCCCATCCCTGCCTACTCTGTGTATGGAGGAGATGGGAATGATCCTTGTTGTAAAGATTTGTTACCTCTTTTGAGCTACTGCATCCATAGGTGTAGGTCAAGTTCATCAAATTGTATCAGATTACTCTTTTTTTTCCTCTTCTTTCTTCTTCTAGTTGAGCTCTGATCATCCAGTCATTGAAGCCAGATCAAGTGGGTATTATCTGCAAGTATGGGTGTTCTTGTGCATATGTCCTCTCTTCTTATCAGCTGAATGCTTCACTCTCCACTCTAGTCCTCTGTGGCTATGTCACTGACTGGGCCCAGGAGTCCCCAGGTCTTGCCACACTGCTGGCCGACCAGGTCTCCACCCAGGTCCACAGGAGTCTATTGAACATTGTAGGGCTTAGCTCACAGCTTCATTGATGTTTTTCCGTCACTTTCCTTATTGATGACAAACGTGGTCACCAATCGAATCATGTATTCCCATTGAGTCTTAGTCTTGGAAGGGGGTTTACTCTCAGGGGACCCGACCACTTGGCTTGATGTCTCCTGGGTGAGCAACTTGCTAGTTCTTGTAATGGAATTTTTTCATGAACTTTTTGAAGCTCCTCTGTCTGTAAGGTATTGTATGAGCCACACCTTCCTAAAGAAAAAGTATGATGCACCTTCAGTTTCTGCAGTCTTCCTGAGAATAACTTATTTTATCCCAAATAATGATAAGGTTTTTTAACTCCCTCCTTCACAAAGTGCAAGGAGTCTTGGTGTGTGTCGTGTTGTAGGCTCAGCACAAGGTCAACAATTCAAACCACCAGACGTTTCTTAGAAACCCTGTTGGTGCTGCTAAGTTAGTTCTGACTCAGAACGACCCTGTAGAGGGTTTCCAAGGAGCAGCTGGTAGGTTTGAACTGCTGACCTTGTGCTTATTCCTACAGAGCCACACCAGAACTCCCGTAAACCCTGTACAGGGTCACTATGAGCCGGAACTGAGTTGACACCATTGGGTTGGGTTTGGGATGGTCGGCATAAAGTACAGGAGATGGGAAACAAAAAAATCTAGTCAACAAAGCATCTGACATATTTTTCTTTTTCCTTCAAAATCTCAATCCTACAGAAACCTTTTCAGAGTCGAGGTCACTGCCAGCGGACGGGCCTGACCATTGAGTAGCAAAGACAGTTTTTGGCGCTGAGTCCACATTGAGTGGATGCAGAGGTTGGACCTGCCCTGGCACACGCTTCCCTTGGGCCACGAGCTAGAGCCCTCCTCCGTCCGCTGTGACCTCTTGTCAGTTTTAGCTCTTGCAGGTCCTGCCACACTAAAGCTTTTAAGTCACTTCCCAGACATTCGTGGCTGTGAGCTTCATCTGGAGGGGTTTTATTGATTTCATCCTGGCAGTCCCTCCACGGGAGAAAGATGAGGCTTTCGGCTCCCACAAAGATTTCAAAGCCTTGGAAACCCTATCCAGGGTCACTGAGTTCGAACCTACTCATAAGCACTTAACAACAACAATACCAGAGTTGTGGGTTAATGTTGGGTTGTTAACTGCAAGGTCGGCAGTTTGAATCCACCAGCTGCTCTGTGGAAAAGGGATAAGACTTTCTGCTCCCCTAGCTCTGGTAGCGTAGTGGTTACGAATCGGGCTGCGAACCACAAGGTCAGCAGTTCAAAACTAGCAGCTGCCCTGCGGGAGAAAGATGAGGCTTTCTGCTGCCGTAAAGATTTACAGCTTCGGAAACCCTGTACAGGGTCGCTATGAGTCGGAACCGATTCCACAGCACACAGCCACCACAGTAATGGATATCCTTAGAAACCTTACCGGGATGGTCATGAGTTGGAAATGACCTGACATTACACAACCACCCCCACCACAAATATATGGAGTCCTGGTGTGGTGCTGTAGGTTTGCACTGGACTGCCAACCACAAACCCACCCACCGTTCCTCAGACACCCTGAACAGGGTTACTGTGAGTCAGAACTGACCCCAGGAAGAATCCCTGGTGGCACAGTGGTTAAGTGCTCACCAAAAGGTCAAGGGTTAGAACCCACCAGCAGCTCTGCTGGAATAAAGACCTGGCAACCTGCTTTAGCCTTGGGAACCCCATGGGCAGTTCTCAGATGGTCTCATTGAGCTGGAATCGGCTTTGGTTTTCTTTTTCATCTCTTCCCAACAGACTGGGAGCCCCATGAGGGCAGGGTCTCAGTCTCACACCTCTCTCCATGTTTGTACCCTGAGGGAGCTCATTCCCAGTCTCATCATGATCCCAGATTTCTAGTTTTTGGAATCCCAGAATTCCACACCCCTTGAACTTCACATGAAGACATCAGACACCTTTCTGTTCAACGTCCCTAAACGTAAGGCATCTAAAACCACGCTTGCCTGCCCCTCAGCGGGTCAGGCGGGCCAGCAGGAGCCTCAGTATCCCTTCCACAGGCAAAACCCATCGGTCCCTCGGCAGTATACTGAATCTCTCTGGGGATCCCTGGTGGCACAGTGATTAAAGTGCTCCACTGCAAACCACAAGGTTGACAGTTTGAACCCACCAGCCACTCCAAAGAAGAATGATGGGGTCATCAGTTTCCCTAACGATATCAAGCCTTGGGAATCCCTAGGGCCATTGCATTGAGTCTTATCGGGTTGCTGTGAATCAGAAGTGATGCCGTGGCTGTGGGTTTGGGTTCGGCTATAAGTGTCACTATGCCATCTCTCTCCTGCTGACTTCATCCTCCTTGCAGCCTTCTCTGCATATCCTCGGATGACCCCTCTAGAATCTAGGGTTCAAGTCCTGCCCAGGCTGCCATCTCAAAGCCAATTCCTTCCCACGCTGGACCAGATCTCCCCTCCTGGTCCTCTCCAGCCACACATACTGTGTCCAAACCCTTCTCCATGTGGATGGACTTCCATCTGCGCCTGCCCCGGATGCTTTCCTGGGTTATGTGCGTGGCTCATGCCCTCACTTACTCCACGTCTGCTCAGAGCTCATCTGTCCACTCGATGCCTTACTGGACAGCCTCATCCTGTCCACTCGCTGCCTTACTGGCCTGCCCTTTGCCACACACCCCCTTCCCCCACCACACACATCAAAACAAATATTAGAGCCACCGCTGTGGAGGCAGTAGAACAGCCCCAGCAGGCTTAATGAGATGAAATCTTTCTCCCGCACAGCAAACTCTGGGGTCACACTGCCAACATTTTAGTTAGCAGCCAAGGGCTTAACCCCTTAACCAGGATGCAAAGAGCTCTTGTGGGTGTTAAGTTTGAAGATAACCATTTGACAGTCCAGGAGTCC